GGACCCCACCTAATTCGCAAAGAACTCGTGATTGATGGAGGAAAATTATTTGGTGAAACATTTTCAAGACAATTTAAAAAGTGTTAGAACTTGTCATGCGTATTTTCGGATGAATAAAATTAGTGAAAAAAGATGGTTGACCGAGTGTTCGTCCGGCAATGACGAGCACTGAGTGGTGAAATGTAGGAGGAAAGAATGCGGCCAGACCGTGGATGGTAGGAATGAATAGTAGTGATGGGAGAGATAATTAAATTCAATGGCACGATGTTAATGGGACTTTAGTCACTCATATCCATTGCAAGCTTGGCCCGAATAGGGCGCAGTAGCAACACCGGTGAGCAGAACCTGATAGGATTGCTCACTAGGATAGTCTCCCCTCCAGGTGCTAATGCTTGGAAGTGCTTTGAACGACAGGGAATGGTAAGACAGAGGGGCCCAAAAGATGAGTCTGTAAGATGGGTTGACTTTCACAAAACTAGCAGATCGTGGTCTTCACTAACATCATCGTTACTGAGTAAGGATCACAGTTGGCGGAGGGTCTCCGGTCCTCTAGGTAACCGTAACCGTCATCGCTGACTTGGCGCGGGATTCGGATGCTGGCTCCGCGGTTTGCGACTCCTTGGGAAGAAAGATACAAAGGCGTCAAGCTGATGCAGAAAGCTAGTTTATTAAAGGACCAGAAGCACATCTAAGGCACTAGTTTGAGACATAGAACTATGACTGACACTTACCGGAGGAGAAATCCTTAATGCTGCTTGTTTCGTGATGACCTGTAAGTCGGCGCATATTATCAGCGCCCTGGCGAGGATCATATGCCTTGATGTGCTCGTCGTGGGCAAGTGCCAGTTTCTCTATCGCAGCTGTGATGGCTCTAAACAAAAATACCGGGACTAAGTAGGTCGTTCTGATCAGCCGCATCTCGAGTCTTAAGTGCAGGATTATCTAATTGGTAAAAAATAGGCTAGGAAGTAGTAAGGTAGATTGCACTCAATGTTGAACTTACTCTATACCCGTGCCCTTGGTTCGCATTGAGAGGGTTGAGTAGTTGGTATGGGCACCGGCACCGTTCCAATTACCAGTAACCGGTTTGGGATCGAAGGTAATAACTACGTTGAAGTCCTCTGCAACACGATGCAGAAGGTAACGCGCCATCCAGAGATGATCGGCGGCGTCAACACCCTCAAGAGGACCGACTTGGAATTCCCACTGCATAAAGTAACAAGAAAAGACCCGATTACCCACCGTCGGAACTGATGCATTTGATAGCAGGCTATAGGTGACCACGTTAAATATGTTTAAAAATGGGCTGCGGCTCACCTGAGACGGCATAACTTCAGCGTTAGACCCAGCGATTTTGACTCCGGCGTACAGACAGGCCTGATAGTGTGCCAGGACGATGTCACGACCGAACGCACGGTCCGCACCGACGGAACAGTAGTAGGGGCCCTGAGGTGCGGGAAATCCGTTTTTGGGCCACTGGAGCGGATAACGATCAATGTCCAAAATAGTGTACTCCTGTTCAATGCCAAACCAGGGGTGCTCGTGTTCGGCCTTCTTCATGACCTCCACACAACCGTGTCGCTTGTTGCTAGCTATAACAGTTTTTGGATTCCGATAACTACCAGGAGTGGTGGCGAGAATATGATTATGAAATTAGTATAGATCGCACAGAAATAATGCAAGCAAATCCAAGAGAACAGAATGCTCACAGTGCGGTTTTTTGTCGTAAGTGTAAGTCTCACAGAGGAGGAGTTTGTTGTTTCCGCGAGTAAAAGGGTCCCTGAAAAGCGTCGCCGGATAGAGATATACGTCGGAGTTTGAGCCTTCTGCTTGGCCAGTACTACTGCCATCAAAGTTCCATATTGGATAATCTGAAATTAGTTAATAAGCATGCTTAAAATGCTGAGAAAAGAAGGGAAAGTGCGACCAACATTAAAGCATGAGCACATTGTCAGGTGAAATGTGCAAAGAAAAATGTACCAACTAGTGGAATTTTCAATTAGACGGTCATTTAACTATCCGAAAGCAGATACCTGGCCACAACCGTGATCAGTGTCCAAAGCCATGTTATCAGACGTAGGATAAACATGTTATCTACCAGTGTTAACTGTCTTGGGGTAAAAATTTTTTAACTCCGGTGTTTCTACATCGCCGGATAGCATATGGGTGATGTTTGCACGACTACATAGTAGCGACTGTGTACTATATATACTGCAATGTTTGCGCAAAAGTCGCCCTTGTCAGGTGCTGTCTCTGGTGATAGACTAGTATGAATTGGAAACATTAGGCCAAAAAAACTCGTTTCAGCGATTCCGCCTCCTTCGCTCAAAAGGCTCCCCGTATTTTCGCATGTATCGACCCCAGGTCCTTGTTTGATTGGCCTCAACTAAGTCTGCATTCTAGAACGGACTTGGTGGACTCGAAATGTACTATACGAAGATATTTTCCTCCTCGAACCCATAGCAATACATTAATCTTTCGTTACATCGCGCTTCGACTTTCGCGGCTCCCCTCTACCGCGGACTTTGCATACAAGCACATCTAAGCATATGCATTTATGTATCGCGGATGTTTCGGTGGCTCGCGGATTTATTCGGATAAAAGACCCTTTGTTTCCGGCACATACTTCCTCAGTTGGTTTGCACAGTTGATTCCATACAACTGACGCTGTTAACGGATGGTTGAGGAGCTACTCAGACAGACCACGCGGTCGAGTATCCTTATTTGAACGAACCCTACCTATCATCTAAGAAAATACAAGGTGGTTGAGTTGTGCAACTGTGTGGAGAATGCTTGCGAGAACTTGGGAAGGGTTTATAAGCAGATAAATCCCTAGGAGCTTGGAATATGTAGGAAATAGCTATAAAAACGTGTGATCTTTACTTCGCAGATTCTCGTTCTTCGCTGGGTGCTCTGAAACGCAACCCCCGCAATCGCGGAGGGATCACTGCATACCTATGACTTGACGACAGCATACTAGGGACATCATGCATGGAACGTACCAGCAACCGTTTTTGGTTCCTCTGACAAAGTCATAGTTTTGCATCGCAGGTTCTCGCCAGTTCCATCAATCCAGATGTATGTTACCTGGAACTGACTGTCTTTGTTGGGAAGCTCCAAATATCTGGCCAGGAGGGACTTCCGATCCGCAGGGGTCACCGAGGCGGCAAGCATTTTGGACGTTTATGGTCTCCGCGCCGCTATTGAGGGTATTTAACTTGACGTTGACGCAAATGCCCGTCAAAATAGCCAATCAGAGCAAAAATCGACGAATCCGGGCGGGAATACGCGCAGACGCGTTAGTGTGACCTTGAAATTCCGGCCTTTCACCTGATAGTCCGGATGCCATTTGATTGGATAACCGAGTAAGCAACGCCTGTCATGCACACGTTCCGACCGCGTGAGCGAACAACCCAGGCATGTCACGTGTAGGCAGCAAGAGAAGAGCGCATACAGCGAAACCAGACGAAATCGTC